CCCCCGCGAGTCGCCGAGACAAACTCCCCCCCATTGTGGTTCTTTTCCCTTCCCCCCCCCCCCCCCCTCCCTCCTCCCCCCTCCCCCTCTTTCCCCCTCCCCCCCCCCCCTCCCTCTCCCCCTCTCCCTCTCTCCCTCTCTCTTCCCTCCAAGTTTCCTCCTCTGACTATTCTCCAGATGTTCCAGGCTCAAATGTTAAGCCAACTACTGGGTTTCTGTAATCTTCCTGGTAACTCTAAGTAACAAACAGAACCCGGACCCTAGTGGTAATGACCCTCTTGTTCTTTTCGGCCTCAAAAGGATACGACCGGTCATAAAAGAGAAAAAGATCTTTGGCCTCTCTTGGAAATGCTGGGTCATTTAAAGCACGTTGTAACCTCCCAAAAGAAAGACAGTGTCTTAGGGTCCTAATGCATTATGCTGCGGCTGATAGGCAAGGTTACTCCTTAAATTCTTAACTCCCAAGAAAGCTCTTAGTCTTCTTTGTCAAAGAGTGTGAGTGCCACCTTCCCTAATTCTGAGTTCAAAGTGGCCAACTCTGGTGGCAAGCATTTTAGAAGGCAGGGGGCAAAAAGAGTAACCTCTTTAAGAAGCACCGTCCACAGACTGGTGTTTTGTATAGAGTATTCAAAAGACAGTCTATCATGGGTTATTTGTTTGAACCAGCAGTCGCCTGGGAAAATTTCTAGCTATGAACCAACAGTCACATGAAATTAAAAATCTGGATTTTTATATAACATTAGCCAACATTTATACAGGGCTCACTACGGGCCAGGCACTGTACTAAGTGCTTTACATTATTATTTCATTTGACCCTCACAGCAGCCCTGGAAGGTAGCTGTTGCTACTCATTTTATCTCCGTTTTACAGATGAGGGACCCGAGGCAAACTCAAATACTGAGAAAAAACTTGCCAGAAAATACTTCATCTTCCCTACTTACAGATGACAGTTCATTAAGAACTTTTGGGATAGAAACGAATCCTTCTAAAATGTGTTTTTATTCCTCCCCAGGTGTGTTGTGGGGGTAGGGAAGGAATAGATTGTTGAAATGGGTCAAATCAGTCCAAGAATCAATATAGTAGCTTCATTCAATTCCAAAATGAAACAAACAAAAAAAAAACCCACCTAAAATAAATTTAATTTGGAGGAAAATTCATTGGCTAGGAAAAAATCGTGTGGTGATAGTACCTTGGCTTCTATGTGTTAACCTTTCTGAGACACGTTCATGGTTGAGGCAGGAGCAAAGACTTCAAGGACCCTGCCGCAGCCGCTGCCGCCGCTGCCGCTGCTCCTGCCGCCGCCGCCGCCGCAGCCGCTCCTGCTATCGAAGCTGTGGCTGCTTGCTCTTGCTGCTGCCGGGGGTCCCGCTGCAGCTGCCGCTAGCTGTCCCGAGCCGCCTCAGAGTGCCTGAGCTCACCCAAGGCTCTTTCACACCTGCAAAAGAAGCAAAACCAGAGGCGTAAGAGCAATTCCAAAAGTTTGATATTCTACATTTATAACTGAATTAACAAAAGCCTCATCTAAATCTACAGCCATCACAACCGGTTAAACATAGAGACAGCCTCCTTCCCTAATCTCTAAAGGTGACCAGATTTCTAAAGGTTTATACTCAAAGTAATTACTGCCCTTGGGTTAGTTCTTGTTGAATATAAAACAAAAGGAAAAAATTTAAATTGTAAGCCTGCATTTTTGACGGGTGCCCTTATGATGCTAAAAAGCGTTCTTTCTCTCAGAAGTTCGGTCTTGACAGAAGCACAAGTGAAAGTTAATGTCACTTTGTTAGTATTTTTGCTTCACACTGTTTGAAAAATTCATAGTCCCTTGTATCATTCGAAAAATTATTTAGTGAAACATCAATATTCTATGTTGTAAAACAGCTTAAAAAAGGGTTATTATCCTAGCTTTGCTATTAGTTCCTTAATAACTTACAAAGAAAAAAAATCTTGTTAGCTGCAAAGGGAAAATAGTTACTTTCATCATAGTATTTAGCTGTAAACCCTAGGGCTACTTGTTTTATGATTAAATACAGAATTATATTAGTACAATCATTTAACTATACTCTTAAGAAAAACTAGGACAAAAAGTAAAGGATTATGTAAAATAAAAAACTATAAAACTACTTCTATGTACATAATATATAATTGTATTATATAATTTTATTATCCTTTTTCTCAAGTACATTTTCTTAGAGTACAGTGACTAACAAAGTAAACAACAATACTAAGCAATTTAAAAACTAAATATTATGCATTTTTCAGTAAAGTGACTTTCAGTTTTATAATCCCTTCACCTCAAAACTGGAGGAAGCAAGAAAGAGAAAATAGAAAGAAAAAACAAGGCAATTTCAGGTTTTGAAATCAAAATAGTTTACTTTACCTCTCTTACTGATGAGGAGGAAGGTCATCAGGAAAACACACACACACACACACACACACACACACACACACACACAACCCACCAAACTAAATGAGCAAGATCAAGGCTTCCTTGCTCTTGTATTTTCAACGCCAAACAGGCGTCTTATTCTGAGTTATGCATCCTTGCTATATCAAACCACCAGTACTAAGACTGTCACAGATGGTCAACAAGGTCAAACTCCATCACTTCCCCTGAAACTCCAAGGCTCTATGAAGCTCCCAGTGATTAAAAAAAGTCTGTAATCCAATTCCAATAGCTCCTGGGTCTAAAATTATTGCTATTTTTCGGCCACGTGCTGCACACTTCACCTGCTAGTAATGACATTTTTGTATTTTCTCCTAATTACACTCAAAGCTAAGACCTTTGGCCCAGGGCCACAGACCTCCATTCAGGCTGCACACATTCTGTTAAACGCCCTGATCCTTTGTTGTCACTCTTCCCCTCTCATCTATTATTTACACACAACGAGAAGGGAGATCCTCCACCATTTGTGTGGTTTAAACCTTCTGATCATCTTAATTTCTGCCTTTCAACCTGTGCTCTTAAACGATGCCAAATCGTTTGACAAAATCATTTTTCAATTATGTTTCTCTTTCTACTTTTATTCCATTCTGGACAATCTTCTTGTCTTAGAAAGCTTCCTTTAGGTGGGGCTTTGGTTTCATCCTCCTGAATGTACAAATTTTGACTTTCCACAGACACTGTAATGGCTTAAAATCTCCAAGTTCATTCATTTTGCAAAACCAATAATCAATAATATATTTCCCTGTTGTCATTGAAGAACCTATTAAAAGTAAGTTACTTGTTTAAAATACTCTAAAAAAAGCCAACTCAACTGTCCCCAAGGGCTGAGCCTTGGATATATTTTCCAGTTAAGAGTCATCATTTCCATGCAAAAATGTAATCAGCATTCAGAAAGGGATAGGGAGTGAAAAAGGGAGGGTGGATAGATGGGGGGAAATTTCATTACAAATTTAATACATTTTTAATAACATATGTTTACTTTTAAATAATATCTGAAAACACTCTTATATATTCTCAATTAAAAGCACCAAGCACCAAAAAAACCCTAATAAACTGCTATAATTTTTCCCACATCTTTCCTATTTTTCCCATTGCCAATCACAGAAAAACAGCAACAATAAAAACAAAGAGTTGTTTACCATGATGCAGATGACCACTTAGATCATTGCAGTTACCCAAAGATGCAGATTTCTAGGTGGTTTAGAAAATGACATATGATCCATCTTTGTTCTTTCTTCTTCTATTGCCCAGCTTACTCTTGATTTCTAACAGTGTTTCCTTGTCGTCTGTTCGCTCTGCAGACCCTCAACCCCCTTGTCTTTTCTTATTTTCACCATTTGCTTCAACCAGCAGCAGTTCACCGGAGACTCATCCATCTTGTAATGCCTACAGTGACAGATGCTCTCAGGAACAACCATACTGCTGAGTGAACAAAAGATAACATCACCTCTAGGAACTCAAGAGAGAAATACAACTACAACCCAAGACTGGGGCTGTCTTGACAGACATTGGACCATAAACCTCTTCTAAGTGAAAAAGAAAACAATTGCTAAAAAAAAAAATCTGACACAATCAAAGGCAGAAAAGAGTGATTATTTGTAGATTGCCTTTCTACTCTGCATTTCACTATTCCTCCACCCCCAAGCTTCTATATTGGGGCAATTCACTGGGCAAGGGACTAAGGGTGAAAAAAGAGAGATTTTTCAAGTATTTTTAAGTATCCTTTTTACTTGGCAAATTCAGAATAAAACTCATTCATATGTGTTTCAATAAATCTCAAGATATATTTCAACATCCACTTTCTGACTTTGCTAGTCCGCAAAAAGCAGTATTATGGTTGAATAATACTTAATATCTGAATTTTGTTATTGTAGAATTTATATACACTTATCAAAATCAAACATTAAGAAAGTAAAAAATAAGAGTGTCCTGTGATGTGATAGTATATACTGTCCCCAATATACATAATCAGCTCAAAATATAAGAACCACATTCATTACACAACCTACAACTTGGATTATAAAAGCAGCTAAGAGAGGCTTCTGGGAAGTGCTATAGATCTCTCCTCTAACAAAGGAAAGGTCATATTAACATTTCCCAGCAACAAACTAAGGAAAAGGGAGAAGATGCAGGGAACTCTTTCCCTGCTGTAATCAAGATGGTTTTGTTTTTTTGTTTTTTGTTTTTATTTGGTTTTTAATACAGCAATGGCAAATAAACTTAGCTATAAAATATAAGTTGCTAATTTCACATAATAGGAAGGAAAACTACTGAGAAACACAGAGCACAGATGAGCCCAGAGTTCAATTAAGAACATCTTGTAATCAATGACAATTAGGGAAATACTCATTTCAGCAATAGTTATTTAAAAGAGCTATTTCCTCAGCAAAGAGCAAAAGTATTGCTTCATATAAATAATTTATTTTCAAAGAGAGTAGCAGGTTCATCTAGATATTTTTATGATAAATCTAAAGTGTTTCTTCAATTAAAATTTAATTAAAGACTGTTCTATACAACTATTGTTTTCTTCCAACAGAAAAGTATTTTAGATTTAAAAAAAAGTATTAGGGTCCAATGCCTTCTGAACCGAAGTTTAAAGTGTTGATGGTGGTGGTGATGTTTTAGTAAATGTGACCAGTGAATCTCCAGCTCCTCCTGCTTTTACTGAAAAGATATGATTTTCCTGATTACTAGTTTTATGTCATGTGTCTATATTAATTTGACAGAAAAGAATTTGTACCAGCTTGAGAAATGAATATCCATATTCTTATAAAATCCTTTATAACTTTACCATGACTTGTCTTTAAATCTCTTGAGGACATTTGTATAATTGATGAAAGGCAGTTATTACAAATACAGAGAAAAAAATGAATGAATACAAGAAAATCAATTGGAGGAGGGGAGAAGGAGAAGGGGAATCGGGAAGGGGAAGGGTTCCCAATTGTATACAACACCTGAACTGTAACATGAGCTGGAAAAAAAAGACTGAAAACTTAGCAGCTCTCAGCAAGCAACAACTCGGAAAAAGTTGTCTTCATTGTTTCCAAATACAGACTTGATCCTTTAACTACACAAACTACAGTTTTTAATCTAAAGATTTTTCTTCTTTGCTAGCTTCATTTGGTATTTGCTAAACTTAAGGAACCTAGTACAATTAATAAGTGTAATATCCCAACCATACAGTTCAAAAATCTGTAACTTTTGACATTAACACTAATTACCAACAGAGAGGCATGACCTTGAAATGACAGCTTCATTAATGCAAGTCTTATTGGTGAAGGCTTTAAAAAGACCTAATTAAATGAACTACTTTTAAACACAATAGGATCAATATGCATGTAGAAAATGTACACCCCCGTGGAAAGTTCTTATTGCCTGATTGATCAAAAACAAAACAAACTTTTTTTTTTTAAAGTCTCATTCCAGATCACAGTCAGTGCCAGAAATCCACACAGGAAAAAAAATCCATCAAAATGAAACTCTAAAAAGGTTTACCCTTCACCATCCTATTTGCACTTCAAAACCTTCTAAGTCCTACAGCTAAACCCCAGGGCTGAACCATTTCAATAATAACAGAGGGGACCAGCAGTGATTTATCTGCCTTTTGGCCTCTGGACAGAGTTGTAATGTCTGCCAAGCTTTCCTGCCAATGACCCTCCCTTCTCCCCCAGCCCACTTTTCTTCAGCCTTGTGTCTGTACAGCTTTATAAACAACTTTCTGACTGTTTTTAAATGCAGAGTGTGCCTCTCAAAGTCAGATGCAAGAACAGTTTGTAACT